TAAAAGGAAACAAGTGCGCAAAAGATGCAGCAGGAGCACCGGATGCGCGAAAGGTAAGGAGGGCCGTTTTTGCAAAGTAACGCGAAACAAACAAAAGGGTCGGAAGTGGAGGCGGAGGAGTAATGACAGGGCGGAGCGTATTCTTTTGTCTGCAGCGTCTGGAACCGGTGTGGCAGACGGCAGACACAACCAGCCAAACGAAGCTCGGCAAGGAGTTAACAAACATCAGGACGGATTAAGAGCAAATGGAGCGCTTTCCACTTGGAACGATGCGCATACAGTGACCCTTTATGAACTACGCAGGCGTCCAGTTTCTTCTCTGGAAACTATACAAGTCCAAAATTACATTTTTTGCAGAATGTCATTGAACAAGGGCATATGACCACTACCGGTGCACATGAATTCGGCTTGACACGCGAATTTCTTTTTTTCGAAAACAGAGTTTACTATTAATGAGGAATCGCAGCATAAATGTGCAGTCATTAAATAACATTTCAGCGTCGGTCGAATAGGTGACCGACCTCACTAAAAACCAATGGAAAAGGATTCCTGTAATCAGCATTAACCTTTATGCCGCTAACTTGTTTAAATACACTAACAAGGCGTAAAAAGGTGAGGGCTAAATACAAAATACTTTAAATTAGGAGAAAAAAACGAAAACCGAGGACATTCGCTGAATATATGTGATGAAAATCATACAGTCTTAAGTGTCCCTAAAGAGATATCATACAGGGATGCTAACATTTTAGAATGGATATGGACTATGCTTTAGAAATTATAAGAAGCAGTAGTAGCCGGTCAGATATCATACGATTTTTAAAATCTCAATATTTTTTGGCCTTCGAGTATAAAATTAGTACAAGAGGTAAGTCACTACCAAATGATCAGAATAAATACAGTTCTGCGAGCGCTACAAACAGAATTCCTAAATTTGTAAATATTTGATTATTTCTCCCATACCAGCGGTAACGCATTTACGAAAACTTATAAATAATAATGAGCAGCATTAGTCATATTAAGTACTTAAAAGAATTATACGAAGTACCAAGCGTTGTTAAGAAAAATAAAATTTTCTCGATAATTCCCAGCTTGTGGAGACGTCATAAATGGCTATAAATTAGATCAATGAATTTAAATAGTTTATTATGTATAACACTTAAAGCAACCACTTTCTTTATACAAAAAGCACTTGTCTTTAG